CTCCAGGCTGCTGGGCTGCATTCCTGGCTGCACACATGCTGCAGCTGTGCACATGTATATGTGGCACTTACTGGCTACACCAACCAAAAAAAGACTTGCCAATTATAATGTCAATTTTCCTTTTACTGGTGCTGATCCCTTATGGACTGATATTGGTGCACCTTTACTTTCTTCTAATCTTTGATTTCTTGTCTTATATCATGGCAGCAGGCTTGCCAGGCTGTAAGTTTTCCCTTCTACCACACCATTCCCTCACTAGATCTCAAATCGATGGAGAGGCTATACTCAGAAACTTATCCCTCAAGATTTCTGGAATACTTTGCTCAAAATGGTTCTTGTTTCCACTGCCCCTACCTCCTTGCATTTAGCTCCAGGTTCTTCCTTCTTACCTACTCCACTACCAACAATCCTTTATTCATTTAACTTCTTGAAACTTCGCACTTTTAGAGAAAAGTGAGAGCTTAACTTGTTTGTGTACACAAACTTGTAGAGATGCAGTAGGGCTGATGGGTAGATAATCGGGTCTGTTAGCTCTCATCTCCATATATTGCTGTTAGCAAGGATGTTCTCTGGAGGCACAAATTCAGTTTGAGAACTAAAAATAAACATCACAGCAATGCTTCATGGGATCTTCTAGACTGAGCACTGAGTCCCATTGGGTAGAGTGGTTTTCTTTAATCTTTACTAATCTATAGAGAAACCTCTGGGAACCTCCTAATATTGGGCCCTTTATATAGTCCATGGTCTGTTGTGACCTATATATGAAACTTTTCTAAAATGGTTACATGAATATATAGTCTCAAATAATATATAATTAAAAGTTATAAGCCCCATTCTATGCTGATATATTTGACCTTTAACATACTTAAAATTATATAGGTTAATTTTTTTTATTTAAAATGCACCTTAAAAAATAAAAAAAGACTAAGTAAAAAAAAGTGATTTAAATTAAAATATATATTTTTAATCACTGATTTTTTTATCCACCCTGAAAGTACATCAAAGATTCCCTCTATTCCATACCTGGTAGCTGACTTCACTTTCTCCAGGGGTGACAACAGTATGACTATTTTGTAAAGCTAGGGAGTAGAGTAGTACTGTTGCTTTTTTCTATTTTTGGTTTTCTTGTCAAATTTTATAGTTTTACTAAGACAAGGTGAGTTTACAGTTTGTGGAAGAGTACGCTTTAAGGTTAGATGATCCCTGACAACCTCCTTTCTTGGTAATGCAGAAGTCTTCTGTTGAAATTTTCAGCAAGCAGTTTTTCTTGGAAATTAGATTACTAATGTTGCAGACAGTAAGTTCATTCAGTGTTCTAGCAAATATAAAAACTGCCACAACTCCGAAAACAAGGCTTTGTATACAGCCATCATTTTACAGGTGTTTTGTATGCCTTCTAAAGTACTGCTTTTGGATGTAGAAATACTAGGGTGGATGCTGATTTGACAGGCACGCTGCAATTGGTGTACAGTGGCAGGGAGGTGGTGATCAGAAGCATCTGTTTAGTTTTGGCTTTGGAGACGCACGTTAACATTTTCATGCTAAAGTTAGAGTCTGTTCAGTGCAAATGCTGCTGAAGTAGTTAACTGGAAAAACACTTGGTATTTGAGCTTGCTAAAGAGCTTCAGCAATGCCTTCTAATAGGCAAATCCTTGTCCTATAGAAGAGCATTACAGCAGCCTCTTCTGGTGGATAATCAGATCTGGCTGGTTACTAGACATAATTACTGTGACCGGTGTGTTACTGCTTGTAGAACAACCTGTAAACTTGTTTATTGTAGTGGTTAGAGAAAGTTTAGTAACTTTACACTAGCTAAATGATGCGATTACAGCTCCCTGACTAGATTTGCTAACTTCTAGCCCCAACAAGCCAGCTCTACTTTCTTCCTGAAAAAGGACACTAGCCTTAAAAATGTAACAGGAAAAGGTTTTCATGCTTTGGGGCCTAACCAGCTGTAATTCCAGGGTTCCTTTCTGATTTAAAACCCCAACATGTGTGTTTTTTCCACAATTAAAGTAAAACACCACTGTATATAGGTATCAGTTGAACACAATGTTGTATAGATGTATTTACAGTTTTAAAGTGATCTGGAATCTAATTAATGCCTCAGTTATAATTAAAATACATTCTAGATGCCTATATATTTTTGTGGGTTTTTTTTTTTTAATCTGAGAAAGTCAGATCTCCCTCTGCGCCCTTTGCTTGGCTGCAGCTGGACCTGTATCATGGTGTCTCCCCATCCCCACTGGTCTCATTCCTTGCCCACTCCCACCCCATCCCCCTAGTGTGCGAGAAGGAATAGGTATATGGGGAAGAGGAGTAATATGCTATGCAAATGCAGTAAAAACAAACCAAAGCCCCTCCAGAAAAACCTATTTGCAAGACTTACTGGGTGACAAAAAAAACCCTCGCTCTCTTTAAGCTCAAAAGAGAGAAGCCTAGGTAAGTTCTGAAGACACATTTTGTTTAAACAAGTACACAATCTGACAGTTGAAAGAATATTGTACTTTAGCTGTTATATTTTAAATGCTCTGGGGTAAAGTATGCTACTGTGTGCTTTCTATACCAGTGGTTCTCAACCTTTTTGGTACCAGGACCCATTTGTAAACATCCATGGCCAGTCCTGACCCAGCACCCCTCACTCCAAACCTAGTGCCCCCCAGACCCCAATCCCACCAGTGTGTGGGGCAGGACAGGGGCCAAGTATCCCCTTGCAGGCTGGAACTGTGACAGCCTGCTAAGGAAAAGCTACGCTTTACCGTATTTTTCTCCTTTAAAGGAGAATCCATTTTTTTTAAAGCTTCTTGATCCATTGTTTAAGTTTGTTCATGAACTTTTCATATATTTTTGCAACCAACTTTTGGGTCGCAACCCACAGGCTGAGAGATATTTTCTATAGCCACCAGCTTCTCTCATAGTGCCCCCAAAGAATTAAAATCTACATGGAGCATAACCGGAGCTGTTTCTTGTTGGTTATGGAGATACTTTCCACAGGAACTACAGTTTACTGAGGCTTTAAATCACATAATTGAGATGCACTATTATAGTAAGCCTATTTGTTCAACTGTTAAGTCTTAAATAGAAGGCAGTTATTTCATTGTCTAATACCTTAAGAAGAAATGCAAAACAGTGCACTTCAAAAGAAAGGGTATGTTATAGCAGCTACAGTACCAAACAAAGACCAGTAATAGATTGGAAGGGACCTCGGAAAATCATTGGGTCCAGCACCCTGCACCAACCAAAAAAGATAAGTGGGGGTCGGGTGACCCCAGCAAGGTGCCTGTCTAGTCTCTTGAAAATTTCCAGGGTATGTAATTGCACCATCTCTGTAGGAAGCTTATTCCACAGACTGGACACCCTGACTGTGAAGGAATTTTTCCTAATGTTGAGCCTGAATGAGTCTTCTGAGAGTTTGTGGCCATTACTCCTGGTTTTCTCCACAGGTGCCCTGGTGAACAGTTGCTCACTGAGCCCTTGATGTGTACTCCCCTAGTGTAGCAGTACAATGGTACCAGCTCCCCTCTCAGCCTTCTTTTCCTCAGGCTGAAGAGTCCCAGATCCCTGAGCCTTTCCCTGTATGGCTTGCCTTTTAAGTCTCTGATCATATGTGTGGGTCTTCTTTGGACTCACTCAAGCTTGTCCATATCCTTGTTAAAGTGTGGTGCTGTTACATAAATTGCCAATTACTCAAATCACAAGCAAGACTTTACGAGGGAGGATAAGGCAAGATCCTGCATTTATTGATTAAGCACTTAACACACACACACTCTCACACACTATTCATACCCCAATTTCTGTTCTGTGCTGGTATACATTACCAGTCTTATCAGTGCTTAGATAAACTTAGTGGCCTGCCAAGTTGATCACGAGTAGGAGCCAGGCTCCTGCCGGTCCATCTTGTCTGATGAACCAATGCTCCAGGATGACATGCAGAACAAGACCCAAAATCAGTATGTCTCACCCTATCTTTTACAGCCCTGTCAATTCATCCAGGCCTCTGGGCTTTTGCTGTGTTATCCCTGTTCTTCCTTGAAGGTTGATTGGTGTTGTTCTCTCACTGTTCTGGGGTGGATTTGTCTGGTTTTGGTCTTTTATCTGCCTGCATTCTTCAGTCACTCAACAGCTGATGTTTTCCTTTTCCACAGACATGCTTTCACTCATTGTCTTACACACACAGCGTACAAAGGTGGAGCGCTTATGTCAAGCTACGAAGCAATACAAAATGGAGTTTAAGGCAATGCAAAACTCAAGAAAATATGTAAGACTAAAAGTAATAGGCAAAAAGTCTATTTATATAACAGCACCCAAAACTG